CCCCCAGCCGCGCGCTCGACAACATCGAGTCCCTTCAGACAGCTACCAAATGCTACCCACGCCACGCAAACGTGCAGGAAAGGTTGCGCCTGCCACGAAATTTGCAAGCCATCTCCAAAGTGCTGCTCCTGTCATGCAGAAGGGGGCCCCCAGGTGCGCGCTCGACAACATCGAGTCCCTCTAGACAGCTACCAAATGCTGCCCACGCGGCGCAAGTGAGGAGTAAGTGCGAGTGGGTGAGAGTGAGTGAGAGTGAGTGAGAGTCAGTGAGAGTGAGTGAGAGCGAGTGAATGCGGCGGGCCGCGGGCGGGCGGCGGTCGCGCAGCGGTAAAAGTAAGAACCCCACACAAAGATGTGGGGAATAACAGCAGCAGCAGCGACGACGACGAGGTTGACGGCGACAACGGCGAGAATTACGTCAGCATCAAACACAGCATCATCGTCATAAATATTTGCATCTTGCTGAAAGTCCATGGCCCGAGCCATGCAACTGAATACTCTGAGTTCCGGAAGGGCTGCCGTTCTCCATCATGGAAAGCGAGTCCTTTGAGAGCCACTGCGAAGAGATGGTTGCTTGGTGGATGCGATCATGCGCAAAACCGCTGGCTTGCGTGCTTTCCTAGCAAAAGCTGTGCTGCCTGCTAGGCTGACACACCACTGTCAGTTTACAGGAGGTGATGTTCATCTTGAGCCACTCTTGTGCGCAACGTCTGCAGCCCGCCACTGAACAGCATGGTCTCTGGCGGCGACAGGCTGTCAGGTGTCGTCTGTGCTCGTCTGCTCTGTAAACCAACTGCCAGTCAGAATGCTTACTCATTCCATGCTTTGCTGCCAAGGACAGCTTCGAAGACGCGCAAACAAGACAACCCCAAAGCCAGCTGTTTACACAGACTCCAAGTCCCACACCCAGCTGCTGGTCGAGCACTTCACGTCCGGCATAACAAGTCGGAAGGCGAGCTCCTCGCTCAAGGCTCTGCCTCCTGCGCCAGGGCTTCAACCTCAATTGAGAGCGGGACACAGATTGGGGGGCTTAGACCCAGCATAGGGCATGCCTCAGATAAAATCCCCTCAGCCAACCACTTCAACCATATTAACCAACTGGGGCACGGCACCTCAACCAATTTCATCACCTAAATCCCTCCCAAATCCCAGATTCCCAAAATATAATTTTCCAAAATCCCAAATCCCAAATTCCAAAAATATGATTTTCCAAATTCCCAAAATATAAAACTCCCATAATTTCAAAACATAAATCTTACAATGTTTTTTAATTGTAAGGTTTATGGAGAATTTCCCTTTTTGGGCTTCTGGGATCACCGTCGGCGCCGCGCCGCGCCTCGTCCTCACCATCTTCAACCAGCATCAGGCAGGGCGTGGTGGGTCAGGGGCAATTAGAGTTTTGATGCCATTGTGTTGTAGCAATGAAAGCATTTGCAGTGTTGTTGACATTTTCCTCTCAAGTGGAATTGATTAGCAATCCTGGCCTCTTTCAAGAAAGGGCATCGTCTTCATCAAGGAGCATCAGGATTTGAGGGTGTATTGGTCAAACACCCAGTCCGGATGGGCAGTTCTTGAGGTCAGCGACCCTGCCACTTGGAGGGATGAGATGAGCGCTGGTATCGTTGTCCCCAAGTTGAGCAAGAAGGCGCTTGAGGAACTGCTTGGATACTGTGGCAAAAGGTTGGTGATGCGCGGCGGTCAGACATGGACAAATCAATGCAACCTCGTGGAGCACATTACCAACACTTGGCAGAGAGTTCTTGACCGTTGCCATTGCGAGTTTCCTGCCCTTGCCTTCCAGATGCCCGATGTCAATGGCAGTGAGGCATCATCCGGTGAGAGCGAAGTGGATGAGGATGACGTCCACAAACTGCCGGATGAGACTGGCATCACACCCCCCACCAAGGACACAGGCATCCTCATCATTGCTAAGACCAAGGACGGTTCGCACTCATTCAAGGCAAGTTTTCCACAGGATGCTTCTGTGATTGATGTGATGAACCAGGTGTGCGAAATCACGGAGTTGACGATGGATGACTTTTCTTTGATTGGGAGTGTCTCTAGGTTGGCGTGGTTGCCAATTACCAAACTGTCATCCCTTGCCGTTGTCAACTTCACGGCGGTTTTCAACATCAGGTTGAGGGGTGGCGGCGGCGGACGTTGTGTTCAGAAGAGCATTGTGAAGTGCGACACTGCTTTGAGGACGCTTTCCGCAGATGAGCAGTTCTCAAGGTCAATCGCTTCGTGGAATTCGTGGGTGAATACAAGACCATGGAGAGTGCCCAAAAGAAACTCACAGCATCAATGGAGGCATTGCGCAAGATGGTCGTGGATGACCTGATGAACAACTACAGCGAGGAGGATGAGATTGATTTTGACACGGTGTTGGAGAAGATTAACCAGATGATTGGGTCAAAGGAGACCTCTGAGATGGACACCTGATTGTCACACACATTGACACCTGCCCAAAGCACAGGTGATGCCGGATGATGATGTTTGGGCAAAGACCTTTTCCCAGTTTATCATTGCATCACCATCATTTCCACTGAAAAACCATTGAAAATATGACAGAACACCAATGACCAACTGGCAAACCATCACATTGTATGATACATGTCCAATGTCGAACTCGCAAAATATCATTGCCTGACCATCATTTTCGTCTCACATTGGGCATAGGTCAGAGACCGCTATGACACATTGGGATTGGGGGGAAAGGATTTCCTGCTGTAGTGCTGGGAGAGGGTTTGAACGGGTGAGGCAGGTTAGGTTGAAGGCAGGTTAGGTTGAGGACTGCCAGCCACCCCTTGTTTTGTTTTTACCCTTCCCCCATTTTGGTAGTTCCCGCATCGTTGTGCCCGCAGGTATCTTCTTCGTCGTCTTCGCCTACAAGACTTTCCTCTACTAGGTATGGACGGGAGGCATTGGGAGGGTTTTTTGATATATTTATATATAATATACAAGGGGGAAACTCTCGCCAATTTTTTGTTGCCCTGTTTGGTGATTGGTGGGAGTTTCCTGATAGTTTCATATATATTTTGGCGCTTTATTTATTTTATAAACTATGGATTATCCCCTTAAAATTAATAACTAGACCACGGTTGGCCCGAAAGCAGAACATCGCAAGCGAGGTCGGCCCAACGCTGCAGGATGCGTTCTTTTTCCCTACACGAAGCATTCGTGAAGCAAGCGCGAGACAGCACCAGGCAAGGTGCTCTGTGCAAGTTGCTCTGTGCAAGTTGCTCTGCGTAAGTTGCTCTGCGCAAGTTGCTCTGCGCAAGTTGCTCTAGGCAAGGCGCTCTGCGCAAACTGGTCGGTGCAAGTTGGTCTGCGCAAGTTGCTCTGTGCAACTTGCTCTGCGCAAGTTGCTCTGCGCAAGTTGCTTTAAAATGCAAGTTGCATCTTGCGACGCCGCCCGCGGACCAGGGAGGAATCGAACCCGCGACCCGCCGGTTCCGGGAGCAGGCGCGCGAACCACGAGACAACTCCCGAGGACCAGTTCGAACAACACAAGTCGCGAAAAACCTCGAGTTTTTGCACCTCGACCACGCCGATTCCCGCAGAGGGTTGCGCGAGCACCGCAGAAATTGCAAAAAACCTCGATTTTTGCACCTCGACCACACCGATCCCTGCAGAGGGCGGGCACCGCAGAAATCGCAAAAAAAACCATGGGTTTTTGCACCTCGTCCCCGCAGAGGGTTGCGAGAGCACCGCAGAAATCGCAAAAAACCTCGAGTTTTTGCACCTCGACCATGCCGATCCCCGCAGAGGGTCGCGCGAGCACCGCAGAAATTGCAAAAAACCTCGAGTTTTTGCACCTCGACCACGCCGATCCCCGCAGAGGGTCGCGCGGGAACTTTAGAAATCGCAAAAAACCATGGGTTTTTGCACCTCGACCACGCCGATCCCCGCAGAGGGTCGATTTTCGTGTAGTGTCGTCGGCACTACCCCGCCGCCCTAAGAAGAGATTTTAACTCCTCGCAAGTCAATTGCACTTGACTCCTTGCACTTGCAACTTGCACTTGACTCCTTGCTTGTTTCAAGGAGTCATTGCAAGGAGTCATTGCAAGGAGTCATTGCAAGGAGTCATTGCAAGGAGTCATTGCAAGGAGTCATTGCAAGGAGTCATTGCAAGGAGTCATTGCAAGGAGTCATTGCAAGGAGTCATTGCAAGGAGTCATTGCAAGGAGTCATTGCAAGGAGTCATTGCAAGGAGTCATTGCAAGGAGTCATTGCAAGGAGTCATGAGAGCCATTGCAAGTTGCAAGGAGCCAAGTGCATGGAGTCAAGTGCAAGTTGCAAGTGCATGGAGCCAAGTGCAAGTTGCAAGTGCATGGAGTCAAGTGCAAGTCGCAAGTGCACGGAGTTAAGTGCAAGTTGCAAGTGCAAGGAGCCAAGTGCAAGGAGCCAAGTGCATGGAGCCAAGTGCAAGTTGCAAGTGCATGGAGCCAAGTGCAAGTTGCAAGTGCATGGAGTCAAGTGCAAGTTGCAATTGCAAGGAGTCAAGTGCAAGTTGCAATCCTTGCCATGACTCCTTGCAATGACTCCTTGCAATGACTCCTTGCAATAACTTTCATGATGATGATTCCTTGCAATGACTCCTTGCAATGACTCCTTGCAATGACTTTCATGATGCTGGTTCCTTGCAATGACACCTTGTAATGACTCTCATGAGAACAACTCAAGTGAACCCAGCGGAAGAACCCTTCGCCATGCTTTCGGGAATTTTGAAAATTTTAAATTTCATAATTTTTACTGTGTTGTCGTTGGATGAACCTAGAAATTTCAAATTTCAAGCACAACCCCAAACTCGTTTCTTTAATCCACCAAACTCGTCAAAATCTCACAAATCAATCCAGCAGGTATTTTGTATAAATCTTCCTGTTTATGTTTTACATAGTCCTCGCCCCATGTTTCCTTGTTTCCATTTGGCAAACGTTGCGCTGTTTCAATATGTTTATTATTCCTCATTTTTCCTCAGTCCTTTTTGCATAAATCTCTAGGGTTCCAATTATTAGTGTTAGTCCAGAACCTAGTGCGTTTCCTATAATTAAATCCATACTTGCAATAATCAACATCTTTAAAATCAAACTCATTCATATACTCCTGATTTTTTAATAATCCAGTTTGGGGGTTTTCAATTACAAAATACTTAGGATTAAAATCTTTGATAATCTCAATAGTTTTTAAAACTATACTATTAGCATATTCAATGTCTCTTATTCCTGTTGTTTTTGCTCTGCTGTATTCGGTGCATGGAGGACTGCTCCAAATAAAATCAAAATGGTTTCTGTCAAATGGTTTATAATCCCATTCCAAAATATCACAATTAATATCAGCATTTTTCAAGTCTAATGAGATTACATTAAAACTTAAATCACGTGCAACTTTACCAACAGAACCACTGCCTGAAAATAATTCTAATAAATTCATTTATTAGAATGATTTAGATATTTATTATATTAATTCGTATTTTCCTTCTTCGTTCTTAAACAGTTTATAAGATTCAATAGTTTCTGGTTTTGGAGATTTAATTTTGTTCTTATTTAACATATCCATATATTGCTTTTGCTTATCTTGAAAACTGCCAGACGGACGCCCTATTTGTTTCTTTTCAAAGATTTTATCAATCTTTTCCTTCTCTTCATTGTCATTTTTTGGTTCGTTTGCCTTTGCATCAAGTTTCTGGTCAATAGTTTTCATCATCTCATATAACAGTTTAACATTTTTACTAACCGTCATTACCTTCTTTGATAGTTCAGCAATAGCATCAGCCTCAACTTCAGACATATAATTATTTATTGAAATATATATTTACGCATATAGTTGATTTAATGTAAAATCTACTCTTTAAATACTAGTTTTTCATCATTTGTTTGATAGTTTCCTGTGTTTCATTGTCACCATTATCTGACGTTGTTGCCTCATTTCCAAATTTGATTGAAATATTATGTGCATCTGTTTCCAGACTGATACTGTC